GAGGGGAATCATCAGCTGGCCACCTGCACACCCCACACTGGGAACCAAACCCACAAACCAGGCTTGTGCCTTTGACCGGAATCAAACCTGGGACCCTTCAGTCCACAGGCCAATGCTCTATCCACTGAGCCAAACCAGCCAGGGCACAAAGTCATTTCTTAGAGCATCAGTTATAATAACAATAGTCAGAGACAGTTCAGATGCCACCCATGGGGACTCCTGTGCAGTGGAGGCTGCCCTGTGGGAGGAAACACAGACGTGCTCTCCACGCCGAGAGGGAAAGGTCCCCAGGACCCACGATGCACTGAGAAACGAGCTGTGGAGCAGCTTGCGTAGATGCTGCCTGTGGTGTAAGCAAGACAAATAAGATGTTTATGTTTTATATATATACCAGGGGCCCAGTGCACAAATTTGTGCACCTTGAAAGGAACTGTGGGCGGCGAGGCTGCAGTGGGCATAGGGGTGGGTCTCAGCCCGTACTCTGTGATCCCATCCAGCCCCTCCCACTGTGGCCCCAGGTTTCCTGTCTGCCTGCAGCCCTGCTCCTGCTGCCCTGCTACCACACGTTGATGGTGCAGAGTGATTGGGGCCAGCGACAGCAGCAGGTGTGAGTAGGGCCAGTGCCATCAGCAGGTATGAGTGGAGACTGCTGCCCCAACCACCCCTCAGGAGCAGGGGGAAGTGGAGAAGCCCTGAGGGGCAATTGGGGTCAGCAGCCGCTGCTTGCACCCGCTGATGGCACCGAGTGATTGGGACCGCCGCCAGGTGCCAGTAGCAGGTGCAAGTGGGGCCAGTGCCAGCAGCAGGTATGAGCGCTGGGCAAGACTGCAACACGCTGGAGCAAAGAATTTTCAGTAACCACCAGAGGCATGCCCCAATGACAGCGACTGGCACCCCGCCTTGGTCTGGCACCCCCACTCACCTGCTCCACCATCCTGACGTGGCCGATGCCCACCATATCCCATGTTCTGCTTCCTGCTGCTAATGCCTATCACATTCCACGTGCCCCCTGGTGGTCAGTGCATGTCATAGCTACTGGTTGTTTGGTTGTTCTGCCATTCTGTCTATTTGCATATTAGCCTTTTATTATATAGGATGAGGTTCCAGTCCACACATTATTATTATTTCAATGTAATGCAATTTTTTTTATGTCTAAAGTTTTACATATGTCTCCTTGTTCCCCCGA